TGAAGAGTCATCCCTATTGAAGTTGAGGTGAACTAAGAGAGCGCCCATCCTACAAGAAGAGGAAAATGAGAAGGTCATGAAGGTGAATTTCCTGGGATGCTCTCTATTTCACTTCAAAAGCAGAGACTAACTGGACCAAAAGGGGCTTTGAAGACAGAATAGTTCTTTATTTTATACAAGAGGAAACTGCAACTCAGACTGAGGGTACACAGAAAGAGTGGCCTAGTCTAGGCTTTTTAAATTTCCAGAGTCCTTCAGCTTTGTCTTCAATGTGTGATTGTGACATTTTATGTAAAGTGTACCTCCCACAAAAGATCAGATATCTTCAAATATAAGCATGAGATGCATTATGAAACTACGCGTGACTTTTGAATTAGGCATCAGCGTCACTCTTCTCTCCTATCAAGGTGGATAACTGGGAACTGACCACATTATAAGTATTCACAGAACAGAATGGCTTTACAAGGAAGGTTAGAATTCACTATCTATACCTCTGGCTACATCAGCAATTAACTTTCATCAAATATTGTATCTTAATGGCCTTATCTCAAAATGAGGATAATAATGATCTCATTCAGTAGGATGCCATGAAGACTAAATATTTAATGGTCGCAATGCATTCTAAATGCCACATAAACAAATGACACAGCAATACATATAGCGACTTCTAGCAGGTTAATATTACACATAACTGATCAAAAAGAGCCTAAGAAAGGCACAAATACATTTAGACATCTGCTTCCAATCACGAGAGCAAGATTTAAACTGATATTTTATATTATTAAAATAAAATAGGGTAACCACAATAAGTGAGGAAAATATCAAGGACATTTTACACTTCTTTTTTTAAAGATTTTATTTATTTATTTGAAAGAGAGAGAGAGATAGTGAGAGAGAGAGAGAGAGAGCACGAGCAGGGGAAGAGGGAGAAGCAGGCTCCCCGCCGAGCAGGGAGCCTGATGCAGGGCCCGATCCCAGGACACTGGGATCATGACCTGAGCCGAAGGCAGATGCTTAACTGACTGAGCCACCCAGGCGCCCCATTTTACACATTTTAAACTGGTTCTAAAAAGTACTGTATCATTCGCTTTTAATTTTTTTTTTAATTTTTTCAAGTAGGCTCCATGACCTGAGGCTCGAACTCACAACCCTGAGATCAAAACCTGAGCTAAGAAAAAGAGTCGGACACTTAACTGACTGAGCCACCCAGGCACCCCAGATTTCTGACATTTAAAGGAAAGTCTGTCATGTATTATTCTTTTTTGGATGATGGTGGGTATCAAGTAGTTATGGTAAATATTCTATTGCATATATTTATAAGGACAGTATTTTATTTTTAAATGTCAATATTCACACTATCCTCCAAATTACATCTTTTGCAAATGTTTAAACTTACAATTGAAAAGTTTTAGCTGTTAACATAAAAACATGCAAGGAATCAGATATTTCTTGATCCTCATTAGAGAGATGGTAACCAAAGGGGAAAAAAAAAAAATGAAAGTCACCAGACTACTGAATCAGGCCAAAGTTTCATTAACCTCTAATATTCTAATGTCAAGACTCTACGTAAGAAGCTACATACATAAATCCTAGGGTGTCTACCCTGGCATAGAGAGGTGAGCCTTCTGTAGAGTAGGTGAGATTTGAGCAGGGTTTTATGCCTGAAAAGCAGGGAACCTGCAGAACCTGAGAAAAGATAAAGATGCTAGAGGTAAGGGTGGGGGCGCTGCAGCAGGCAGGCCTTCACCGGAGACGGAGAGCAGGTGCACACAGGCCTTCACCGGAGACGGAGAGCAGGTGTACACAGGGGGAAATGCAAAGGGCATGGGTTTTCAGGTCCCAAGAAGCTTGAGTTCAAGTTGAGATTTTACTACATTGTGGCTGAGCTACTTTGAAGAAGTCTTAATTTCTCTTTTAAGGATCAAATGAGGGGATAGAAAACTCTTCTTAAATTATGAACAGGTTAGTCAGTAAGCCCTTCTCAATGAGGAGCCATTAAACACTAGTAGTGTGTGGATGGTCAAAGCACCAGCTCTGGAACCAAAAGACTGTGTTGAAACAAAACCTACCCTTTCCTTAAGGTATGATCTCAGCCAGGGTCACCAAACCTCTCTGTGCCCAGTTAGCCTTATGTGTCAAATAGAGATAACTAAGGTGCCCATTTTATAGGGTTATTATGAAGATCAAGTGAGTTAATGTATGTAAAAGAGCTTAAAATCGTGTTCAAAGAATTATTTATTGCTGTTGGTGGTGGTTTTGTCATTATTACTCTCTGATTCTCAATGTCAAATAGGGATCAGGAGAACACCAATGACTAATAAGTATTTGATTAAGAATCTAAAAAAAAAAAAGAGGAGCAGGGGTGGGGACAGGCAGCTAAATCTATAGGAGGGTTTTAATAATAAAAGCTACTAATACGGCTCCATGATTTCACAACAAAAGTATGTGACAATGAGCCAGGGAAGTTTCCTGCTGTTGTAACTAGCAAAGTAACATATCATATATCTTTTTCCCTTGCTAAAGGGCTCAAAACCCCAAAGTGCATTGCAATTTGTTCTATAAAGAATACTTTGTGATATATTCAGTAGGACTATATTTGGTCCTTATAATGACACAGTTTGTTAGAAATAATTTTGCAATACGGTAGGAGTATTTTGACCTTACCTAAAGGAGTTCTAACACTGAAATATCAAAAGACATTATAAAATATCCTTAACCTGTTATTAACATTCCAACCACAGAATACAAGGTAGCAGTACCACACAAGCTCTTTGAACTCCGATTGTAACTAATTCACCCCCACTCCTGACTTTTCAAACCACATTCAGGACATATTGCATAGTTTTATAGAAATTATTTTAAAAATTATATGTTTGGGCTAAAATCCTGACCGAAATGTACAAACACAAAGATCAGAAATGTGTTAAGGAAAGCATTTTCAAGATCATGTTTTAAATTTTAAGAAGTTTGGGTACTACAACCAAAGGGTGATGTACCAAACAGACTGTACTGCTTCCTGACTTCATGTCAGCATTCTGTTGAAGCTAAAATTCAGAATATGTATTCTGAGGTTTTGTTAACAAAAAATATGTGTTGAAACTAAAAATCAGCATTAGGAGTTTTTTAACTTACAAGTATGTCTGGCCAGTGAGTAGTTGGATCCACCACTAGTCAAGCCAAATCCCTCAGGAATTTGACTAGAGCTTCGAGGTCTGGTCAACAATTTAGGAGGTTCAATTTCAGCACCAAATTCAGCTCCTATTACTCCTAGTAAAACAATAGCAGTAGCTTGCTTCCGTCTTTCCTCATAAGATGTGGAAATCTTTTTCATTTGTGGGATACTTGATAAGCAACCTGAAAACCAAAACATAAGTTAAAAAAATATCAATACACAAAAGACATACAATAGCAAAAAAATTTCAAGATTACTCTTTCAGGAAAGAACAGTCTTTTCAACAAATGGCACTGAGGTTATCCAACTACAAAAGGATGAATTTGGGCTTCCACCTTTCACTACACAAAAAAATCAACTCAAAATAGATTCACAGTACTAAATGTAAAAGCCAAAACAAAATAACTTGCAGAAGAAAACAGAGAGATGTAACTTCATGATCTTGGGGTAGGCAATGATTTCGTAGATAAGATACCAAAAGCACAAGCAATTTTAAAAATTTCTTTAATTGGATTTCATTGATATTATGAACTTTTACACTTAAAATGACAGATTTAAGAAAGTAAAAAGACCACGCACAGACTCAAAGAAAATACTGTCAATTTATATATCTATAAGGATTGTATCCAGAATATATGAGGAACACTTACAACTCAATAATAAAAAAGCACAACTTTTAAAATGGGTAAACAATTTGAATAGATATTCGACATATGATGATATATGAATGGCCAATATGCATATCAAAGATCCTTAACATCACTGGTCATTAGGGAAATGCAAATCAAAACCATAATGAGATACCACTTTGCATCCACTAGAATGGCTGCAATAAAAAGGATTATAAAATGTGCTGTCAAGTATGAACAGAAAATGAATACAGTGCAGGTGGAAATGTAAAAAGGTACAACTACTTTAGAAAACAGTTTGGCAGTTACTTACTCAGTTTGGTTTTCTATTTCTTCCTGAGTCATTTCTTTCTTTTTAAAGATTTTATTTATTTATTTGACAGAGAAAGACACAGTGAGAGAGGGAACACAAGCAGGGGGAGTGGGAGAAACAGGCTTCCCGTGGAGCAGGAAGCCCGATGTGGGGCTTGATCCCAGGACCCTGGGATCATGACCTGAGGCAAAGGCAGACGCTTAATGACTGAGCCACCCAGGTGCCCATTCTTGAGTCATTTCTGATAGCTTGCAGTTTTAAAGGAATTACCTATTTAATCTGAGTTTTTTAATTTATTGGTGTGAGATTATTTGCAGTATTCTCTATGATGAAAGTATTTCAAATGTATCATTGCTATGGATCCTTCTAAATATTATTTGTGCCTTCTCTAATAATACTTTTCATGCTCTTCTTGATCAGGTTTGCTAGAAATATATATATTTACTAGATTTTCAAAAAAATACTTTGTTGGGGCCCCTGGGTGGCTCAGTTGGTTGCACATCTGACTCTCAGTTTCAGTTCAGTTCATGATCTCAGGGTTGTGAGATCAAGCCCCTGTATTAGGCTCCACACTCAGCAGGCAGTCTGCTTGAGATTCTCTCTCCCTCTGCCCATGCTCCCCCCCACCCCTACTCCCCCCACACTCTTTCTCTAAAATTAAAAAAAAAATTAAAAAAAGTACTCTGGTTTTGATCTTATTTCATTTCTTTCTATTTTACCAACTTCTGTTGTTATTTTTATTATTTCTCCTTCTACTTTATGTTTTCTATCAATTCTTTTTGTTTCTAGGCTTATTTATTTATTTTTAAGTAAACTCTACACCCAATAGGCTTGAATTCATAACCCAGAGATCAAGAGTTGCATTCTTCACCCACTGAGTCATCTAAGCACCCCTGTTTTGTTTCCAGGTTCTTAGGATAAACACAACTCACTTATTTTCATAACCTATTATGGTTTATGTTGCCAGTCACAGAGTTAACATCCATTTTCCTCTCCTTTAATAACACAACTTCAATTTGAACTGAGTAGCGATATACTCACATCCTTTCAGGGTCCTTTCAAGAAATGGCAAAGCCATAGCCTAGCTCCTGGCTTTAAGCTTTACTCATGATATATTTTAAGTCCTCTTTAGCTCACAGGAGCCAAAAGCAGACTTCTGGAAAGGAGCTAAGGGTTTCAGCCCAGATCATTTCTATTTTATTACTTGTCCACAGAGATACCTATCTTTCTGGAGACTAGCTATGTCTCTTCGGGTTTTCTGTTTGTATATTTTAACCATCATGACTATATATTTGGTACAGAGAAATTTAAAAAGTGAACTTCTGGAAACATCTTCATTGGAGGTCAGCTTTCTAGTCTTTCTAGTCATCCATCCAGCTTCTCTGGACCCTTTCAGTACTTTGTCTCTATATTAATTAAATCAATATAGCAAAGGGCCCTCGGAGCTCAGTATCCCAACTAAGAAACTAACAGCGGGGACCTCTGAATGCTTTTAGATGTTTTGTTTTATTTTGTCTCTTCATTTACTTTGTCATTCCATACTAACTGGAGGTAAGGCAAGGGAATGACAACACAAGAGGCTACAGGGGTACCACCAAATCAAGAGAGACTTTTGCAGGGCAAGCTGAAGACTTTTAACTTTTGGTTAATGGTAAGGTATCGAATAATTTTGTGTAAGGTGGCGCTATCAGATTTATTCACTGTTAGAAAGATCATGATAGTGGCAGTAGGATGGCAGATTATGAGGTAAAACAAGATGTATCCAGTAGAACCAAAAGAAGACTCCTGAAATGATCAGGTGAAAAACAGTAAGTACCAGTGGTGGTAGAAATTCATTCATTCTGATGTCAGTTACTCGGTCTCAATATAAGAACTGAAGATCTGGTGTGTTCATGGCATTATACTAGACATGAAAAGAGATGTGAAAAGCAAGTTCACTGTCCTCTTTGAACTTAAAGGCTACTAAATAAGAATCAGAAATAGGTTACAGAATCAATGAGAAGATTATGAACTGAGAGAATGTTATGTTTAAGAACCTAAAGCATTAGTAATTTGTTGACTTCTATTTCAACGAGAGGTGATTGGATTGGAAGCCTATGAGCTGGGAGAAAGATAGAAAACAGGCAAGGGAGGCAGGCAAGGGCCAGACCGCAGATGGCATCACAGATCCTATTCACATTTCAATTCTTATCCTATAAAAAATAGGAAGATACTCAAGGTAGGATTTAAGCCACAGAATGATATAATTAGATTTAGGGATTCAGAAGGATATCGTAGAAATCAAAGTGAGAGATTAAGATGAGTTTGGTTTGGGAATGTAAATAGATGCAGAGAAGTGGATATCTTTAAGATCCATGGTGAGTCCTGGGTTAAGTTGATGGAAACATTGCAGATTTTAGATGTCATGCCTTAAGTTCTTAACAAAATTAACTAAGACAAAATCAGAACAAAAAGTAAAATAGTAAAAACTAGTAATTTTAGCAAAAGTTAACTAAAACAAGAATAAAACAAAGCAAAAGAAACCCTTTCAAGGTAAGTAGGTAGGTATGGCCTTTCTAGAAGCTTAATAAAAAAAACACCTAGAGCGCAAAGCTTTTTAGTATAAACTTTAAATTGCATTTATTTAGCTGTGCTGAAAGGCAGAATGGATGTGAGCAAGCAGACCTAGTTGAGCCTATGAAAAGGAAATGGCAGGATATTACAAAGAATGTAATAGTTGGAAAGGAATAATTGTGTAAGAAAGAGGCATGAAAGGACTTAAAAAAAAAAACTAAGAAACTAAGATGGTAGCATCAAAGAGTGGTTACCGTTTATTTGGAAAATAAAAGTCTGGTTCAACTGAGTACAAAAAAAAAGATTTGTTGTTGCTGCTGTAGTTTCTTAACTTCTGCATATCATACTTTGTTTAAAAAAAAAAAGTTCTGAAAATGTGCCATGAGTTTTCATGTAGTATCTAGAAAGACAAAATCCAAAATGAGTCCACAGAGAATACACTGATCTTTAAAAATGTTGTAACTGTTTCATATAAAATTTTAGTTATTATTAATTTCCCTAACTTATTTTTTAATAGTATATTTCAAACTACTTGCAGGCTGCTTTACAAGGATATTCCTCCAATGTTAATAAAATTATTTTATCACTTCCACGGTCATGATAAGTCGTATTTCATGAATTCACACTTCTTACAAAAAGCCTCAATTAAAATGTTCAAAAATATTTAACATTCAGAAATATCTTCTAATCAGATCCCACAGTATGCAATTCTCTCTCTTCATGGTTTTTTTTCTAGTTTTTTAAAGGTAAAGAAACATTAGCAAGAGTCTTACTGTGTACACACAATGACAGATTCCAAGTATGCCACTGATCTGTCATAGTTCTAATAACGAAAGTAGGGGAGAAACCTACAAGCTTAACCATACTAAGAAGAAACAAAATCAATAACCACTGCTTCTGTGTATGGAGGATGAAAATGAACCCAAATTCTAGAGAAAATGATATTTAACAGGTTGAGAATCTGTATCTCAGTACGTGCATTTAAACCCAACTTTGAGTACAAGAACACACAGGGGCAGAGCTCTGCGCAGCTGCAGCTAGATTCATGCAGTATACATTTCACTCTTTCCATAGTAGTCATGAAACAGGAAGCAAATCAAGCTCCCCTCCCCCCATGTCTCAGCAAGAGCATGCTCCATAACAATAGTTCAAAGGAAAGCTCTATTCTGCAGTTGCACTGATTGTTCTGTCAGCTGACCTCTGCAGAAGGGAATTGCTAACCGCTGCCTTGCTCCTTAGCTGACAAATGAATGATCGCAGCTCCATCTATTTTCACTATGGCTGCCTCTAGCCCAGGTGCTCAGACAGAGAGCCCGGTGTGACATCTTAGATCAAGATGAATTGGCACAAACTCCTGATCCAAGATTGTTTTATACCATTTAATTTAGTTTCTTCCCCTGCTTGGATGAGCACAGCTCTGGTTATGGATTTCTATTCTAATGTACTGAAGCAGGCCCTGAAAGAAGCCAATGAAGCAGCTGCTGGAGCAAGGGACTGCAGGGATACTGATCAATAGGCAAGGCATTGACCCCAGCCGTTCAGCCTGTGCAACGGCCACTGCTTGAAGGGGGAGGGGGGCCCAGAAGCACACATGGGCTGCTTCCAGTAGGAAATTAAACAACAGGGGCATTTGGAGAGCTCCGCCTCCACCCCGGTCCCCCACCTTCCCTATGTTCCTTTTGTTTAA